CACACACACACACACACACACACACACACACACACACACACACAGGCGCTTTTGTTGAAAACTGTCAAAAATCACATGCAGTTACCGAGCGTGCAGGTTTGTGTTCTTTTCCCTGCAGCTTAAGTTAGATGAGTCGTCTTACGTAAGCGGCATGGTTTGCTTCGACCACATTTACCCCCGCGTGCGCGCACACACACACACACACACACACACAGCTCTGAGAAGCAGTCTTCACAGAAGAGCTATATTCAATGTATGGTAAGTGATACCCTCTGTATTTGTGACGGCTGCTCAGCAGGTGATCAGGTCCGGGTTTCAGGCCGTGAATGAAACAACGTTTACTGTGACAGGCCAAAACAATTAGGCCCCGTGTCTGACCCGGGAATAAACAAGAATGTACTAAGTTCCAAATGAACAGATCCGTGTCTGGCTCAGCCATCACATGATCGAGAAAAAAAAAAAAAAAAAGAATGAAGTTATTTAAGTCCTCCATGCTACTAGTGGAGACTAAAGCGGGCTGTATTATGATTACTGTTACTCACTAAGTGTAATAAATGAGTACATTACTCGTATTACTATAGCTAGAAAGGTGGAAACTCGCACTCGCAGCCGGTGCAGTTACTGAGTAACGCGTTACTGCTTAACACCGCTGTTAAATAGAGCAAGTGGACCATTGATGGGTTCTGTGTAACCAACAGTCCTTGTTAAACTAATTTTAAAGAATGAGTTCCCACCAACAGTTTGACACGGTGAAATATAACACTCAATCTGCCCGTAGTCAGTAATGTATAACTTACTAAAGGCTATGACAGTAATAAGATAAAGAGCACTGCCATTACATCGGGAGGACTGCTGCTTTAACAACCGGAATAAATGGAGGAGATCAACAGCTTTGGAAAGCCAGGAGTCAGCTGGCTCATGACCGAGACCCTGAACCAGAGACGGGTCTGCCTGACGAGGAGATCCGTGCATCAGAGGCCGTCACTCACTCGGCGGTATGTGACAGTCTGTGGGCCCCCCCCCCCCCCTGCACCAGTTGCTTGATGCATTTCGATGTGTAAAATGCTTTGAGTCAGGCCGTCAGAGGGAAAGTCACAGTATGTTGGCTTTTTGGTGATTCATCTCGTCGACCGTGCAGCTGCAGTGTCACGTTTCAACATCTATGGGGATGATTGACGCGGCCCCCGAGGAGGTAGGAGGAAGGAGAAAAGTCGTCTTTTACTTTAAATTCAACATAAAAGCAGGTTTAACGCAGTGTTTCTACATGGAGTTAGGTGTTACATGCAGGTAGTGCGAATGGAACATGAACTGTTTATATTGAAAGACAGGAATCACGTATTGTGCCAGACACAATCCCACTTGGATGTAGTCCTAAAAACTCTTAATCCCGCCGGGGAAAACGAGTACAGACATCACTCAGTTGTGCTCCCCTCACACATTATCACCTTCAACAAACGGGACCTGGTCTAAATACAAGACCTTCCTGAATGACTCACACACACCTGTGACAAGTCACAAACATTACTAGAGCTGGCTGGGAGAGACCACAATGCTGGGACACCGGCCAGGCCTGGGCAGCCGGACAATACCCAACAAAGTTATGCAACGCCTGGCGAGACAAACTAGAGCACGCTGGGGGGGGGGGGGTCACCTAAACAGCAGCAAAGCATTTCCTTTTTTTCCTGCGAGCAAATAAAATGTGGCTCAACATCCAAAGAGCAAAAATGAGAAATCTTCTGCACATTTACACTCAAGCAACTAATACGTTACATGAAATTCAGATTTGAATCCACCAGCTGGATGTGATATTTCCCTACAAAAAAAAAAAAAAAACAACAACTGGAAAGTCAAACTTCATGGCTCAAGTTGTATTAATGGGAACCATGAAAAAAAGACTTCCTACATCAGGCAGTAGAAACAGCTGCCAAATAACAACACTATGATAATTCTCTGTAGGTTCATCAGCCCTTTTACATCGTTAGGCTGTAAACACGTTGCCATTTGTTACATTCTTATTATAGAAATATCGGTTTTAGCCACTTTAAAGAATAAGGAAAATAATTACTAGTAGCAACTCTATTCTGCAGCTTTAATGCTCCCTTACTACAGATCTGCATGAATACAGACGACACACACACACACACACACACACACCTTACAATCAGTCAACCAGTAGCAATTATGACAGACTAGAAGTGACATGCAGGGACTACTTAAGTGGAGAGAATGTTGACTCCCTTCTAAGGTATGTTTCGAGGCTGCACTCCGATGGATTAGGCTACGTCACAGTTTAAGGCATTTAATACTTTTGCTCTTCTTTCTACGAACAAGAGAACACAGAGTTAAAAACACTTTTCAAGATATTGTTATCCAAAACGACAAACTACAGCCTCAACCTCTCTCTGACTGATTAGTATTTATTACAGCTTGTATTGCATTCAAATCTGCAGTGTTTCTAATTTCTCGGTTACTTAATAACATAAATATTTTAGAGTCCACGGTGCAAAAAGCTACGGTACTTCCCGTCGTTCAGGTTTGTGCTGTTAATAAATCAAACAGACACCCGGTGGTGTATATTTTTAGGTGACTTCTTGCATTTGTCGCTGGGCAACCCCGGAGGTTTCTTTAGGAACAGCTTAGTTTACTTTAGACCGAACTCAACCAGTCTCCAAAAACGCAACCCATAAAAATGCACAAACACAGCAACTGGTGGAGGTGATGCCAGAGGAGCGTAAATGGAGCCCGGCGCTTTACTGGATGTGAGAATGTGAGAAGTCCCAGGCTTAGACTGGCTATGCAGCGTGGGCAGGAGGAAGAGGAGGAGGAGGAGGAGGAGGGTGTTCCCAGCAGTCAGGCTCACAATCGGTAGAGAGAAAAAGATAAATCAGCGGCCATGATGGTGTCCGAGTTACTTCGATATGTTAAGATGCACACAGTAGGGCCGCACAGCGATGCGTGCTTGCTGGACGGTATTTTAGAAAAAAGGGGTCCTGCCCCATGAATGTGTGAGCTTAACATGAGATCATTCTCAAATATGTCAATTAATGAAGCCTTCTAAGTTTAGCGAGCAGTAAATCTCTTAATTCCTTGACACCAGTGCACAAACATTGCATGTCAAATAGGGGAAGAAATAAGATTACACACCGCAGATTTATTTCATTTTCATGAATATATTATGAGTTGAGTCATACACAGACAGTTATACATTTTTGTATATTAAAAAAAAGGGCATTGATGGTGTATTTTGTGCTTTTAAATAGCATTTAGAAGAGCGTGTGGTCACTCACCATTTCACAGTACTCAAAGACAAGTAGGAAGGGAATGGCCTCAACACACTGTCCCAGGCATTGGAGGATGTTTGGGTGCTGCAGCACTCTGTAGACAAAATAACACAAAGCCTGTTGATGCTGATGCTGATCAGCACTTCAATAAGCTTTGAAAGAACACCTTAAAATACTATCGGTAATATTGGAGAGGAGATTAGGTCTGATGCAATGTGTAAGAGGATGAGAATATGTTTTGAGTTTTGCACAAAGCAGAACATTTGAGGACGTCATCGTGTGCTTTGAGAAAAACTAATTGACATTTTTCACCAGTTTGACATTTTACAGACGAAACTACTTATCGATTAATTAAGAAAATAATCTTTCTATTAATTGACGATGAAAATATCTATTTGTTCCAGCCCTACACGTGTTAAATATATTGATTTTAGATCACCTAATTATAAACAATAATAGCCTTCAGTTAGGATCTGTCTACCTGTATGGATCTCCCTGCTGCAGGAAGTCATTCTGCTCCGTAGCACTTGCATTAGCTTTCAACTCCTTCACCACCACCCTGGCTCCTCCTGGATCAGTGTAGATCTCACTGAGAAGGACCTGTTAGTACATGAAGATACTTCAGGATGAACAAGACACAGAGAAAAGAGCCATGGAGCATTTATGCCTCTACATACAACAAGTTACAAAAGAGGCAAATGTTGAAAAAGGCAACAGATGATATTTGAATGAGGCAGCTGTCCCGTGCATGTATAAAGTTTAATTTTCAATATATGCTGCATACAAATGTATAGTGGGTTTAATGGAAAAAATCAAGAAAAATTGCAAAAAAAACACAATTTAATGTTTTCAGTTTTTATTTTTTTTAGTCGTTTGGGACTGTGCTGAACTTGTACATTAATGAAAGCAGTCTCACCTGTCCAAACCAGCCGTTGCCAATCTCTTGGATATAACTGAGATTGTGACGTGCTACCTGGAAGCCTGTGGACCCCTCTGAGAAAACAACCACAACACAATGTTAATTAAGACTGTGGTAATTAACCAGTTTCAACTGGAGTTATGGAAAAGTTACATTTGTTGTCCTTAATTTCAGTTATTTAAAAAAAAAAAGAAAGAAAGAAGAATACCATCCAGAAACCCAGCCATTAAAACTCTGTCTGCGAGTGTGCATGTGTCTGACCTGTGATACGGGCAGGAGGCTGGAGGTGCGGGGGTCCCGGCAGGGCCACAGGGGACACGGCGAGGGTGTACACCTCGGCGGGGGACTGCATAGAAGGTGTGTCCTCTGCCGGGGGAGTGAAGTCAATCTCATCGTCAAAGTGGTCCTCAAACTCCTACATCAACAGAAATCAAGAGTGGATTCAAAAACAGGCTCGCCATGAGATGACAACACAGAACTGCGGGGCATTCATTTCACAACAGAGCATAAATTCACAGACACTGTGCCTGTGACTCGATGCCCACTCTGCGTATTCATTAGGTTTGGCCTGCGTGGGGGAGCAGGTGGAGCCATGTCCGCCATCTGACTACCTGCCCGCCAGGACTCTCACCTTGAAGTTGATCTCCCGCTCCTTGCAGCAGGTCACACAGTTCACGAGCAACACCGCCAAGGCCAGAAGAGCCGTCAGCGATACCACCAGGGACAGGGAGAGCGAGACGGGCAGCGTGGCCCCCGTGCTTCCACCTGAAATGATGAAAAAGCAAGACAGAAACTAAGCTGAATTATACACACTCACAGCTGTGCTTCATTTCCGAATTAATGAAGAAGAAAATGACAGTTGGCACCAAGCAAACCCAAGCGTAAAAATGTCTAAATCCACCCACAAGAAAGGTTCATTTAAGCTCGACGACAAAAATGAACTGCAACTTCTAGAGCGCATTGCTCCCTTTCACTATCAACTAACACTGTGTGAGACAAAATCAATTACGAGTGCGTAAAACAGTGCATTTTTTTTTATGGTGTACAATTTCTGCAAATATGACAATTGTGACTCTTCCGGCCAGACCACCCAACCTCCGCCCCTCGGAGAGACAGTTGTGGTTGAAGAGCAGCTGATGGTGCAGCAGCGGTGACAGCGAGTGTTAAGTCTGTGCCGGTGGAGATGCTGCTGTCCCAGCAGCAGTCAGGGCTGACAGCCAGCCAGACAGGCCCCCCCCCCCGCGCTGCTCAGCTGCTGCTCTCACACTACACCGATGCTGACCAACGTTCACACAGAGGCTTTACAATTTAGTGCAAACCGACATCTTTGTTCTGCTTCACACGCAAAACACATTAACTATTAAAAGGCCCAAAGTATTCTAACCCCTGTGAGTAACATGGATAATGTGCCGTTAACAAGAAACAATAGTGGGCTCCAGTGGACAGCGAAAACTCATTTATACCAGATTTTGATGATGTCCCACCTCGTCTTCTCGTGTCAAAATGTCACTGCTCATTTGAGTCACTTTGGTCTGTCAGAAGACGTTCAAGTCAATCCCTCCCACTTGGTGATTACATGTATATTGTGTGTGTGTGTGCATGTGCGCTGAAAGACGAGTGAGATTTTGTGTCCCCACTCTTCCTCCTGTGTTTATTCTGTCTCCCACTGGTTGTAGCTTGTCAGGTACATCCTGTCTGCTAGAGGGAGAATCAACACCTACCGAGCCTCCTTCAGATTCCTGACAGACGAAGGTGGGCGCTGAATACATCCAGACTACAAAACCTGCTTCTCCTGCTTCTAGTTTGGTTTTATGTCAGCGCATGAAGGAGAGAAACAGCAGACTTAAGAGTATGACAGTAATACAAGAAGGAAGCCCTTTGGAACTAATGAGAAACCAGATTCAGGCCAATGTGTCGACACTTAAATTACATTTTTTTCCCAAAATATATAAACTGTGCTTTTCCAGATGGGATCAATCTGAAGAATCCTTGCATTATAGTGTAGGTGATGCATGTGAATCTTCACCAAATGATCCTGGAATGTTAAAGGAAATCGTATTTTCTGACGTCCCCAAATCTGTAGCTTATCCCACATTAAATGTGTCATCATTAATCTGTATTTATATTTACGTTCATAGAGGAGTTGACCATTGACCATGCCATTATTAAAAGGTGACAGAGTGCTAACGTTGGCTAAACCTCAGCACCAAAGGTCTCAGGCAGAATAAAAATGAATTAATCTGGCAGCCTTCTCCCCCTCTCATAAATAAATCATTGCTGTGAAATGAAATAGTGGTAAGAACTTGTAGAGGCTGATGGGTAGTCTAAGAACAGAGCGGTGATCTTACGTCTGAACAGTTGTACATCCGGGAGGGGGGTGGGGGGGCAGACAAGATTAGCAGCAATCGCTTCATCTCCCTGAGGAGCATTAGATATGATCCAACGTGTCAGCCGTGATTGAGATTTATTTCATGTCTACCAGACTACGCCGAGCTATTGCCGACAAAAATAGAAAAGGATTGCTCAACCTATTTACTTATGATCACATTACAAATCTAGATCATGATCAAAGACGTCACATGTCACCTCAGCTTTAGGAAATGTAAAGGCAGATGTCCTGTGACGCCAGCTGTAAAATGTTTAAATACACGTAGCTCTGATATTTTACCCATTTCTAAATAATGGATGCCTCCTCAGGATCACATCCACAAATCTCTCCTCTATGCTGAAGATAGAGAAAGTGTGAGCGTTGAAATATTGATGAGAAGAGGAATGAAAGATTAAATGGCTCCGTCATCAGGACACAGGCTTAGCTCTAAATGGAGATGTGTACTTACAACTGTTAAATGAAAGTGTTCCCCATCTTGTCCTTTATCTTCGACATGCGGAGGCTCTTGTTAAGTCGTATATGGGCTGCTGACGGTTGTACTACATTCCTCTGAGCTACAGTTGTAAGAGGAAGGCACAGGTGGAGAACTGCTAGTCGACGCTGCCCAAACCACTGAAATCTGCTGAACATGCATGAATCCAAACCACAGACTGCACAACGTTTTACAACAAACGACACATCAACAACACAAGAAGAGGCAAATACATGCAGGGAGCAGTAAGAAGAAACAAAGTCATAACAGGTGAACAAAGGCCAAAGACACTACGGTGTCCCTTCTTCATCTCTATTTTGGACAGCTGTTAGTTGAAACTGGTGGGTTACAGAGCCACACATGCTCTACATCAAACCAACGTAAACATTTCTAACATGAAACGACGTCTACTGCATGCATGCATGACTGTACTGTTGCCATGTCACGCAACAGAGAGGGAAACCCCTGACTGGGGTCTTCCACTATGCCATGAAGAAGAAGGATTTAAAAGAAGAAGATTTTTCTCTTCTAAAACCACACATCCATCAGATCAAGCTATTATTAAACTCATACCATGTAGTCTGAGACCATCCTTTTGTGAAATGCACATTTCATAATTCTAGACAGGCAAGATTTTCCAAAATTATGAGTCCAAGAGAGAGCTAATGATGAACAGAAAATGTACAGCCCTGTTTAAATCCGATCCAAAATACGTCACGCTGCCTATTTTTCACAAAACACTACCTCCATCTAGAATTATAGCAAACAACGCGATCATCAGTCACTAGCAAGAAGCGATCATTCAGAGAGTATTCCAATTGGCTTAAAATAAAGCTGAACTTCACAACAACCCTGTGAGAAATATTGGCTAGAATTGCAGGCAGCCTTTTTTTTTTTTTTCAACCCTGTCTGTTTCAGCCGAGCAGCGGGGTTCCAGGCGGTGCACGACACCCGGAGAGGCTGCAGCAGCAGTCAGAGAGAAGAAAAACAACACAGTAGCCGGGTCACGGCAGCGCTACATGGGATCAGTTCTCCTCGGTTAGGCCTTATCTGAGTCATGGGTTCATATTATGACTTGGCAGGACCCACCAAATGACTCAACTGGTGTTTTCTTTTGGACCAATACGGCAGGGAGCTGCCAGGTCTCATTTCAGTTCCACTGCATATTTCAGGAGGCATTCACGCAAAAGCAGGAGCTGACCCATTTTTATTTTTGCAAATTTCACCCACCAGTGTGCACAAGTGCATGTCCGAACTTTCCGTTTATGTACAGGATGAGGGATGGCAAATCGTCTGGCTGGCATGTTTGGGTTCTACTAGGAATTGTCTGGCTGCTATGATCAGAAGCACTACGCCTCATTGATCAAATGCACTAGTGGCTGGCCGTCGAAGGAATCCATATTGGATAAGCTTGTGTTCTGTCATTTTCAGTTATAAAATAGTAATATTTCCGTTAAAACCATAAAAACATCCCTTCACAGACTGGTCCACAGTGTGTAGAAACAGCATCCCTTACAGACGGGGTTGGTTATCACGGTATCACTGATGTAGTGGAAGGTTATGGCCAAAGCGTCCACCTTGACTAACAGACCGGACGGGCGTCCATCACACGGCTGTTACTACAGTTGAAACATTGACACTTCTGTTAAAGCTTAACTCGCTACCTTTACTCATGTGTGTAAACACAGCACACGCCACTTGAAGACTAGCTTTGCAAGAGACTTTCCAGTTATTGTTCTTATAAGTGGGATCTCACCCACACGTTATCTAAATGTTTAACTGCATCACATCAGGACACACTGGAAAATTTTGGGGCAAAGAACAGGTTGTAATAAAAGCATAAAAGACATGTGCATGTAATTGCAGCATAACCTTTCCTGCAAGCTGTAACATAATTAGCAAACAACACTGTTGCTAATCATTGACTGGAGCTGATAAGACTGGAATGTGTTATGGTTACACATGACCAAGACCTGACTACAGCATATTCACGTCTGCATCCATTCATTTCTCATGAGGAAGCACGTTGACTGACTGAGCATCTTGCTTTGATAAGCTGCAAAAAGAGTGAAATGCTGAAACCAGTACCGTGTCTCTCAGTGAGTGTATATGGCATCCGCAACACAAGGTTGCAACAAGTGATCATTTTTGTGGTTTGATTCATCTACTTTATTTACTGTACCATTTCTCAGGGAATCAAAGTTCCTAATTTTGTCTGGAAAACCGTGACAATATGTTTAAAAGCAACCAATTCAAAATGTGGGAACCAAATCAGTACTAATATCTGATGTGATGTAACCAAATGTTTCCGTATAAATCAAAATTGTCATGAATTAGTTTTTTATTGGTCAATTACATCAATTACAAAACCGCAAATAAAACAGATTGAATTAAATTGAGTCATACATTCAATTTCCTGCTGGTCTCTGAATCAACATGTGTTATCACACTGGCAAACCTTTTTTTCTTCCGTGAGTACACTTTAATTCATCCAATAATAATAAAGTGATCCCACCCGTGACACAACCTGTGATGAGGAAACAGTGTTTCCATGCTGGTAGGCCAACATTCAGTCTATTGTTCCATAAACTTGGTTTAAATGCCAATGACTGGACCAACCCTCACTGACAGATTAACATGTCTGAAACTGCACTTACAATAGGCTGTACTATATTAACTCAGACACATTTGAGTTAAATATCAATCTGAAATAAACTAGACGAGGTTAGGTATTTTCTGAGTTCTGGTTGAGGAAAACTGTAAAGTTAACTGCTGTTACCAGTTAGCAAAGTCGTGACGATGATATGCTGTTACTTAACATTATAAGCATTATTAAAATGTGCACCAGTCCATATAGACAGAAGGAATTGCCATCCTGCTAACTGTGTTGTCACATAAACAATAGTAGTTAGTCCAGGTGCACCGAAACGGTCTCCAGTGGTTAACAGGAAATGCAGCCAAACTGTTGTGTTGTTAGCTTTTAGCTGCTGATTAGCAGCCACAACTCAACAGAAACACTTGCTAGCTCAGCAGCTAGATAGACAGGAGATGTAGTGAGTGAACAGACGATCGCTTAGCTGTGTATCAGCTTACAGTCAGCTGTCTCACCTGATGTGCGAGGGTATTGAAGAGGGGCACCTTCAGACAGCCAACACACCGACAGGAGGATCCCACCGGCCAGCAACACAACACATCCATAGCGGCTCCTCATCCTCCTAGCTTAAATGTTAGCTAGTGGGAACCGTCGTCCGAAACAATAAATGTCTGTTTTGATGCTAAACCGTTATTAATCATTGATAGCCAGTTGAACGTCAGTGTAGGCTACATAAACGAGCATATTTCCTGTCTGTTTTTGACGTTAGCTACTTACTGTTAGACCAGCTAACTAGCCTCAGCTAGCATGTCAACGCTAACAGTTTCAGCTGACGACAGCAAACACCGCTACGACACGTTCCGTTGTCCATGGAGACAAAACGAGCCATCAACTTTCACGACGTGTCATATTTGATGTTTGTACCGTAATGTTATTTAAATGAACACAGCTAGAGGAAATTAACCGATAGCCCTGACTATCATGAAGCGGCTACCTTCCGAATCGCCATGTTCCTGTACGACGTCACATCACGAAATGAGGCGTAAAAACCTCAAATAATTGACAAGCAATCAAGCCAATCACAGCGAAGAATACCTTCGGGTTAAACACACGGAGCCAATCAGCTTCGAGCTTTATTATCAGGCATGTAAATCCACTGTATCAGAGCTGAAGAGAGCTTTATACATACAGTCACTTGCCAAACATGTGAGGCACGCAAGAATGATTTGGAAAAATGACTTGTCTACAATATATGTTTGTTTTTAGATTTATGGCCAACCATAAACTGCCCAGTAGCATTTAATAGGTGGTCAGGGTAATCTGGCTGCTGCACGGAGGCTGGTTTAAGTACTATGAACTATTTATTGAGGATTTTTTTCATTTTCTTTTTTGTGTTTTGATATGAATGTTGATGGTTGTAGGATTTACCGGGAAACATTGTGAAATAATACTAAATTTTGGTTTCAATAGCTACAAATATAGGAATGATGCTCTTGAAAAGTCAACTTGTTATTTATCCCAGTTAAAGACCATTCCTCTATATATATTTTTTTTTTCCTGACATAATGCTATTTTAATTACTTTCAAGCCATAGCACATGATACTTGATTCTTTTATGAGGTGTGATAAAACCTTTATGGAGAATATATCACCAAATGTAATTATTGTAATACTCTTCATGTTTGTTAACAAGACAAACCCAAATATTTCCCCATTGTTATTTATAGCCAAGACTTACAATAGGACAGCGTCATGTTCTTCTGTTTACACAGTGTCTTTGTTACATTGTTTTAAATTACCATACACATTTAATACTAAAATGAAATTCACATAGCTGATTGATAATTATCACATTAATCTCATGAAAGATTTTGCTTTTCCTGAGTAAACCTGCTTCTGTATTTTATATTATTATTCCTTATTAATATTAATATAAACAATAGTATAAGCAGTAGTTGTAGCAATATCAGTAAAAGCAGTAGATAGTTGTAAGATGAATATTATATGAAGAAATTCCACTCGTTAAAATACATTCATATTTGTGATTATCAGAGTGTCATTATTTTTTACTGTGCCTGCAAGTTTGCACAACAATATGAGTGAGAAAATCATCTGCTCTGATTAACTGATGAAGGAGGAGGAGGAGGCATTCTGTGGCGTGGGGGGAATCTCCCTGGGTTTGAGGACAGATACGTCAGGTTGCTTCTTACACTCCGGATCACGAAGCTGCAAAAGAGTGTTGGTGGCAAGCAGAGCAAGAGGAGCAGAGATCTGTGCATCATAGGCTCAGAGAGTGCAAACCTCACCTTAAGCACAGTGAGTATCAAGCTTTTTGCAATTGCATGTGCTCGGCAATGGTTGTGTGACGATAACTAGCAGTTCTGTGTGATTTTGTACCTTGAAGCATCTCAATCCTTCTGCTTCAAAATAATGGGGAATAAAAAAAGGACCTTTTTGTTTGCTCCTTCAAGTTGCAACTACTTTCTCTTTTATTTTGTAAGCTTGGGTCATCAAGCCATTCTCATGTGATTTAAATCATGTCATATGATGTTTCTCTCTCTGATTGAAATCTTTTGTTAAGTTGTTTATAAGTTACTGTCAAAATAGCACAGCCCTACTGATAAAAGGTATAACTTAGCACCTTAGTTTTTGACAGTGCTGATGTGTCTGAAGACTACTCATGGAGGAACGATTGTGCTTCATCTATCCACACATTTTTATCTGACAGAGACGGTTATATAACAGCAGAAAACACCTGCACCAGTTTTATTTACTGTCACTTTGCATTTCCTCCGTACGTGTGTGTTAGCACCCCTCAGGCAGCTACAGAGGACCATGGCATTTGCAGGGCTACTGAGCGACGAGGACATCAGGGCTGCGATCCAGGCTTGTCAAGGTGAGTCAGACAGCAGGCACGCTCGCACGCAGGGAGACACACACATTAACACAAGTTAGTGAATATAAATCCACACACATATTGCAGAGAGAGAGAGAGAGAGAGAGAGAGAGACAGACATTGTGAAACCCATGCAGTCTCACTAGGGATACCATGTACGCGTTGTTCACAGCGGGGACAGGGAGCCTGCAGGTAACCAGGCAGCCATGTGGCAGGAGAGCAGTCATCACCCAGATACCAAAGTGTTTTTTCGCAGAGCATTCACACAGAAAGACCCAAATCACACAAGATATACAGCCCTCACTTCCCAAAGCACTTCATCAGTAATCTATAGTGATTGTGTTTGCATGACAAGGCAGACGCAGCACAACCCCTCAGATGAAAATCAAATGTCAGTGCTTATATGCCCTTTATTCAGGAGAACCCCCCTGTTAGCAATGATTCAGGCAAAAAATCATGCAAGCTGTGTCTAATTTCTGTGAATGTATGTATGGAGGTAGTATTTCTATGATTTATTTCAAGAAGTGATGGAAAATTAAATGTTTTATTAAAGTGGGCATATCAGACAAATTATCTTCAAGATATTGATATTTTTCTTTCACCATTTCCTGTCCTTTATTTTAAGATGAATATTCTTAAATCTTATAATCTCGCATTCTGTGGCTGCAAGTCTTATTCAGCGAATAATTGTGATGTACTTGAGGGTAAGAATTTCCTCTCTGAACAGCTTGATACAAAAAAAAGGCTTTTAACATTTACAGTAGGTTTGCATTCGGCTCATGGGCAATATTCAGTGTGCTTTCAGTGTTTCGATGGCTTAATGACATAGCCTATAATGGTGTAAGACAGTGATGTGCTACAGGGTATATATTGGTAAATGTCATCGGTGGAAGAATGAAAGTCATCTGAGCGAATGAGTACATGCGACATCTCTATTCAGTTTCTCACCATTGTTGCTTTCTTGTCATTCTGTGATTGACCTCTCACTCCCACATCTGTCTGCCTCTCTTTTTTGCTCACTTCTTCTCTCTCCTATGCCGATGCAGCTCCAGGCACATTCGACTTCAAGTCGTTCTTTGCTCAAGTGGGACTGGCCAGCTCATCCGAGGCGGATAGAAACAAAGTCTTTGCGGTCCTGGACCAAGACAAGAGCGGATATATTGAGGAGGAAGAGCTCAAGTAAGGATAGCATGTGTCTGTGTGTGGTTTACAGGCTAGACCGAGGATACAGATGAGCGTGTGAGTGTGTTTGTGCATGTGTAGCCATCGTGACGGCCCACAGGTTGAGGTCACTGTATGAATGAATTCGGTAATAAATGAGGGGGGAGGGCTGGTGAGTGAGTGATGGGGAGGGGGATTGCTCAGAAAGGCCTGCAGGGTAAGAAAATGACATCAGAAAAGATACATTCAATGATGATATAAGCCTGAACTTTTCTCTCATATTTTTTGCGCACCCATCAGGCTGTTCCTTCAGAATTTCTCTCCGGGGGCGAGAGAGCTGACTGTGGCCGAGACCAAGGCTCTGATGGCTGCAGGCGATAAGGATGGAGATGGCAAGATTGGGATGGAAGGTGGGTGCATGTAAAACATCTGAAAAAAGCTGACGGCAGATGAGAAAAAGGAGCCGTTTGTGCAGGGGAGCTGTCCGTTACTTAGTACTGAAATTACAGTCTATAAAGCACATACAAAAACAGTATCAAATTGTACACCAAATTATGTGTTGATTGTTTAGCTATAACCATACTATTGTTTTACATTGACTTGTACGGAGAGCACTGTTGTGCTTAATAGGAATATCTGACTGAATTTATTTTTCTCCCCCACAGAGTTCTGTGATATCCTGAAATAAAGAGGATGAACATCTTTGACCACAGCTGTTTTTCCTGATTTTAAGTTAACGGTTTTCGTATGGAAATCCTGATTTTCCAGATTGATTGATGCAAAGACCAGAAACCTGGGATATTCTCTACCTGCCTGCTGCTCTCCCTGTTTATGTGTTACAATAAAGATGTTTGGTGGACAGACGGCTAAAGCTGGACGTTATAGTGTGTGCGTGTGTTTAATCAATCAGGTACCTGGAATGGGTTAATAAATGTATTTAAGATGTGATATAACTGTGTACTGCTATTTTTTCACCTGCCTGAAATGGATAATGCATTATGTGTCTCATGTAGGCCTTAAAATGAACACTTAAACTACTGTAATAACATTCAGAGGTTTGAATCAACGTATTCATGTAAAGTCCCTGCATCACTTAAGGTGACCGTGACCAACAAGTTGACTATATGTTGAATCATATGAGACTTTCTCACCGATTTATCTTGCGCAAAGACATAGCATCACTAAATAATGATGACTATTCACTAGTTCATGAGCAGGACTCAAACAGGAAATAGTTCCTGTTTGACAGGATAATGTTTGATGAGTGCCCTATTGACTCAGCTACTGACTCACACTGGCATCTGCCCTGGTGATGATGACATAATTAGGCATAGTTGTGATGTAAGGAAAACCCCTTAGGCCTTTTCCACAGAAGCCATTTCGACTTTTCACTGTTTGAAAAGCACAAGTGTGAGTAACAAAACAAATGATGTGTGAATTCCCCTCAGCTGCTTTGATTTCAGGGTCCCGTGTGTCAGGATCCCTGTCAGACCAGACACCTCCCATGGCCACACAGCTGCAGCCACTCCAGCCGATTACCTCCTGCAGGCTGACACACCAGACTCAGGTCCCACTAACGCTTTCCCTGGCACTATATAAACTCTGGTCCTGCAGCCTGGGGTTGTCAGGTCGTACCGTCTTTCACCCGCTTCAACCCCGTTGCATCTTCGGCCTCGAGCGCCTGCCTCCGGTGTCCGTTGGTCCGGGAATCCCCAGTGCCCTCCGTGGTGTTAACGGACTACACACCGCTGCTCTGCCCTCTGTTGTGTTAACGGACTACTCGCACGTCAAGCTGCCAGCCCTCCGGTGTCGAGCCACGGGACTCACACCGTCGATCTGCCTACTCTCTGGTGTCGGACCACGGGCTCCACACCTTCCTGTCATCTTTATTCAGGCTAAATAAAACCTGTTTATACCAACTTCTGTCTCCTGTGGTCTTGCTATTGAGTCCTAACCGTGAACTCCCGTGACAGAACGACCTGACCATAATGGACCCAGCAACCACAGGAGCAGCTACGCTGTACAGACATAACAGTCTGCTGGAGGAGATGAGAAGCTTCGCGTCTGAAGTTTCCCGTCTTGGCTGTTTCGTGCAGGAACTAGCTCGGACAGTCATGTCTCCACCAGTTCCAGCACCCGCACTATTCCCTCCAGTACTCGCTCCGCCAGTCCGGGAATTCCCTGTGCCGTCTCCAGAGCCCTATGACGGAACACTGGGGAAGTGCCAGGGCTTCCTGTTGCTATGCCAACGGGTATTTGACCGTCAGCCTCGGACGGGCCCAAAGTTTCCTACATGGTTGGATTACTGCGGGGAAGGGCTTTGGACTGGGCCGCGACATTAGGTTTTGATCGGCCTAATACTGTGTTATGTGGACTTTGTGGAGGATCTGAGGGGAGTTTTTGATCCTCCGGTGGCCTCCGATTATGCGGCTAAGCGCCTTCTTAGCCGGAGACAGGGCCAATAAGGTGTAGCGGAACACTCGGTGGTCCGGCCGACTCCGGCTCCCCGTATTCGGACGGCATTCCGGCCGACACCGTATCTAGCTGCTGCCTCGGAGCCGCAGCGAACTCCAGCTCCTGTTCCTGCCGCAGCCAGCTCCTGTTCCTGCCGCCTCTGCGCCAGCTCCAGTCCCGGCCGCCGCCGTCTCCGAACCGCAGCCAGCTCCAGTCCCGGCCGCCGCCGTCTCCGAACCGCAGCGACCTCCAGTTGCCGTCTCGGAGCAGCAGCGACCTCCAGTGCCTGCCGCCGCTGCCGTCTCGGAGCAGCAGCGACCGCCAGTGCCTGCCGCCGCCTTCGGGTTGCAGCGACCTCCAGTTCCTGCCGCCGCTGGACCAGCATCCTATTCCCCGGAGCCCCGACTCAGAGTCCGAGTCCAGCCCACCGGAGCACCCGTGTCCGGAGCCCTTCTGCCCGCCCGGCCGTCCGCCGGAGCACCCGTGTCCGGAGCCCTTCTGCCCGCCCGGCCGTCCGCCGGAGCACCTGTGTCCGAAGCAAGTCGGCCGTCCGCCGGAGCACCTGTGTCCGAAGCAAGTTTGGCCGTCCGCCGGAGCACCTGTGGCCGAAGCTCTTTTGCGGCCCCGTGGCTGGTCAGATCCAGTCACCCATCCTCCGGACCCCCTCCGCCCACCCTGGTTGGCTTTGTATCTGCTGGGACGTCCCTCCTCCGGACCCCCTCCGCCCACCCTTGTTTGTTGTTCTGGACGGTGTAGCTACGTCTGGAATCCGTTCCTTGAGGGGGGGGGTACTGTCAGATCCCTGTCAGACCAGACACCTCCCATGGCCACACAGCTGCAGCCACTCCAGCCGATTACCTCCTGCAGGCTGACACACCAGACTCGGGTCCCACTAACGCTTTCCCTGGCACTATATAAACTGGTCCTGCAGTCTGGGGTTGTCAGGTCGTACCTTCTTTCACCCGCTTCAACCCCGTTGCATCTTCGGCCTCGAGCGCCGGTGTCCGTTGGTCCGGGAATCCCCCGTGCCCTCCGTTGTGTTAACGAACTACACACTGCTGCTCTGCCCTCCGTTGTGTTAACGGACTACTCACGCCGTCAAGCTACCAGCCCTCCGGTGTCGAGCCACGGGACATCACACCGTCAAGCTGCCAGCCCTCCGGTGTCGAGCCACGGGACTCACACCGTCGATCTGCCTACTCTCTGGTGTCGGACCACGGGCTCCACACCTTCCTGTCATCTTTATTCAGGCTAAATAAAACCTGTTTATACCAACTTCTGTCTCCTGTGGTCTTGCTATTGGGTCCTAACCGTGAACTCCCGTGACACCGTGCTGTTTATGCTGGCTCACTGTCACTCTCACTGGCTCACTTGAACAGAGCATCGTTGGATGTTAGAGACATCGTTAGTGTTATTAGTAACACCTGTGTTTTCCGTGCTATAACAAGTCAAAAATGGCCTGTTGTGATTCACTGCTGCAGATCATTTTATAACCTAGAACTTGTGATAGTGGGGAAATTGAACAGCCACTTCACCAATTTCCCCACTTTTGAAATAGTATTTTCAATTGATGGGACCCCTCTTCAAATGCTAGGACACATGGGCGTTTCCAGAAACAGTCACTGTTTTCCTTATTGGGATTATTACTGCCTTCTGCTGGACGGATTTTGAATTCCTGCAGACACAGGTAGAAATAGCCACCTTATGGAGCATACTTTATGGTATTGAAACAGAATTCAGATGAGTGGTTAGGTTTAAATAGCCTACAGGTTAACAGTCTAGCTTTTACATTTCTTGAAGGCCACAAAAACAAACCCATCAGATGCACAAAAGAAAATAATTCCAAAAAAAAAAAATTACAAAAGGGGCATGTTTGTATCATGCATTAATAGTTATTCATACGAATTTTGTGCCATGGCAGCTCGTCAGCGTTAAATGAGGTGAGGTGACGACATATTCCTAACTTGTTTACATGTTTAAGCTCGCAAATGCATAGCACACAAATATTAGTCTGATTGACTGGTGCATTGCCTGCTCAGGACAGGGATACGGTGGTGTAGGCCCCAAAGACCTGCTTGGCCGCTGGCTTGAAACTCGACCTACTGCAGAGTTCAAATGGACCATATGCAAATATATGGTGGCCTGTATTTTAAGTATAGCTAGTTAATGTTACAGGATAGAAACATAGTCTATGTATCATCCGAGACCAGCTCGGAGGCTTCAGATGAAAGAATGAGAACCTGACTCCAAGAATTTATACAAACTATAATAAAAAAAGCAATTAGGTAAATCGACTTCTGAGCAGCCTGCAACAGACACTGCATGCATGAGTATCAAATAATGCTGGTAAAGATAAAATAGGTCATACTGTATTATGTTTGACGCAAATGCATGTGAATGGGCTATCTGGGAACATTTTTACTGATTCCACCAGAGACAGAAAGTCTGACAAGCAGTCTATCACAGAGAGACATCTATTATCATAAATAAGAAGATAAAACCCAATGGTGCTTTTGAGGGCAGTCCTTCCACATATGTTTACAACATTTTAGTAGCCAATAATACTTTTTTTAACAGAACATTTCCTCTGTTCATTGATAAAGTGAGCAGCAGTTAGCATTGGCAGTCATTTGAGCTCATTCATGTGGCAATCCACGTTGCTTTTCTCAGGAATATGACCCTTGGCCGACATACCCACTCTCACACATTCATCAATATTGTCAGATGAAATTTACAGCATCAGAATTCAACATGTTGAATGCTTTAAATGATATGGAGGCAACGTGTCGCCGTCAAGTCAGCGAGCAGGCCTGCTCAGGTTTCCACACGTCTAGCTATAGGCCTCAGCACACATGGTAGCATCCTCATTTGTTCACCTAAAAATAGGTCGAGACTACTTGACACATTTTTTTCGAAACCCATGCATCTTGGCACCTGATACTGAGACTCAAATCTCTGTAAATGGTGTTGCTCAAGGATATATAAGAGAGATGGGTTACTGCAGGAGACATTCACTCTCGAGTCCTCCTTGGTTTTCACTCGCCTCAACGCAACCCAAAGGTGAGTTGGATGTGTGCGCCCTGCAATGGCAGAGTGGGAGGAAAGGGATTGAGACGAGGAGAACCTCTTGGACTATAACTTTAGAGAGAAATGGAACCAACATTGAAAGAAACTACACGGACCACAGGACGACTCAATCAGTGCGAAAAGGAGGCCCAACTGTGGCCATTTGGTTTCGACGGATCAATATCTCTGGATGATAATTGTGCTATTTCTTTCTCTTTCAACCGGATGAAAAAAAGCTATCGACGCGTTTGACATCACTGTGTTTCCCCGGCTGCAAAGTTCATTCGCAGCCGTGATTCATGTTGCCGTGAGATGGCCTCTCAGTGGGAGCATCATCTATTTAGTGCCATAGCAGCGTTGGGATAAACAGAGTCAGACCTGAGCTGACATCCGGAACCAAAGAGCAGCGCTCTATCCCTTAGGAAAAGAAAGCGGTGATGCTCAGGGGCAGCATTTGCTAATTAAAGCAATTCATTTTCACTAAAACAAACACGAGGCTTTGAACATTTTTATGTTTCTAGATTCTTTCCAAGGTGTTACTGAATTTTCCATCTCTTGTGAAGCAAGAGGAGGAAAAGCCTCGTTTAATACTTGGAAGTTGATACATGATTTCAGGCTGTGTTATAATGATTTAAAAACCTATAGGAAAACACAAACCCTCTGATACCAGTCTGAAGTGACTGTATCTTAGGCCCTCCGAATAGCAGAACCCCCAAAATACAAAACATCAGTAGTTATTGCTTTAATGAAGGATATTTGCAATGCAACCTCATGGCTACTGTCTGGGATTTGTGATGCTTGTGTCTTCTTTCCTCCCTCAGAATAAAAAATGGCCTTCGCTAGTGTCCTCAATGAAGCTGATGTAAAAGCCGCTCTGGCCGGCTGCGCAGGTGAGCTTCACTATCTTAACTTAGTACAAAGTAGATTATACAGTCAACACACGCACTTCATCCTCATTATTATTATTTGTAAATTATGAATATAAATGAATTACAAATGCAAAGTTGATTGAAAAAAAAACCCCAACTGATATCCATTGATATCTATGTACTGAACTCTCAGTTTCCTAAACTGCCAGCCACAGTAATCCTATTTAGTCAACACTGAGGTAGCTTGACAGGGTGCTAATGGTGTTAAAATGTGTTCCAGCTGCTGACTCCTTTGACTACAAGACGTTCTTCAAGGCATGCGGAATGTCCGGCAAGTCCGCCCATGAGGTCAAGAAAGCTTTCTACATCATTGACCAGGACAACAGTGGCTTCATTGAGGAGGAGGAGCTGAAGTAAGACACTCAAGCAACTTTCACTTAAGCCAGCAATGCCTCTGTAGCTCAAAATATGCACCAGATTTAATATTGCTGTACGGTTTGTTTTTTTTTGCAAGGGGGCAGCTTTACTTAATTTAATTTAACATGTTGTCTTAGTTTGGCTTTAATCTGTGGCTCAAACGCACTCACTGCAATACAAAAAACAAAAGAAATGCCACGTTTAATGAAGCCTGAAGGTTTTATGACTGTACATCCACACTTCTATGGACAGGCTTGTTGCATTTGCCTTAAAATCTGAAACACTTTAAGTGATGCTCATTCTGCACAGTGATTTACAATTAATTAGTATAGTCTGAGATGCTCATTCTAACACCTGCTGTTGTGTCCCCCCCGTCAGGCTGTTCCTGCAGAACTTCAGTGCTGGTGCCAGAGCACTCACTGACAAGGAGACCGCGGCATTCCTCATCGCTGGTGACAGTGATGGTGATGGCAAGATCGGAGTCGAGGGTAGGACTTCTTTCTGTTTTTGAGCAGAGTGCACTTTCTACATACCTTTGAACGTAGCAGAAATCAGCAGAGACATGCATGGTTAATTCTGATACTTACTGGCAATGGACTCTCAATTAACCTGCATCACAGTTAAATATACATTATCCATTCACATACATCCACGCACAGACCAGTCCAATGAGCCTAGCTCATACCAGCATGATGACATTCTGTTCACTACTAATGGCAGTTTCATTCTACTTTCACAGAGTTTGCTTCTATGGTGAAGGCATAACTTTCCACTGACCAAGATCCACTTCTTTTCATTGAACTGCGAACTCCTTGCAAGATTCCCTATCCACCAGCTGAAAGAATATTTTTTTATATCTTATTTATGAGTTGTCTGCAGATTATTTCTCAACATGGAACACATGTTTTTACTGTGAATGATACTTAGATGTGTTAAATGTTCTGAAAAATGACTTGTGCAAACTGTACAACACCATCTGCACTTTTGAGGAAGAGTGAAAAACCAGGAATAAATACTCTTTTGGTCTAAAGTCATCTGCTTCAGGTCAGTCATCTTTGTACTGCGCTTCATACAGCACTTGTTTTGATGGTCGGTCAACGAGATGGGGAGGATAGCTAGACTCAAGCTGGCAAACACGTTGGGAATAGCCCTCTTTGCTCATATACTTCCTGGATCCAGGGAGGTTTGCAATGGATAGCTGTCACACACAGTGTAATCAGGTGGTGTCTTCCAGGGACTTTTCCTCCATCCACTGCTGAGTAGTCAATTAGATGATGTGCTGTGGCAACAGGAGGGCTATTAACAGCTACTGTTGCATCATCAGGAACTTTTGAATCTGGTGCATTGATGCACATCTTTAGTGATCTCAGGGGTTCCTTTTCAATTCAGTCAGTTTTGTTTTGTAGTGTTTAGAATGTGTCACATGTATTTGGGACATATTCTACATGAATGTTTTAGCATAGAAATAAATTCAAATAGATCATCAGTCAGATTTAAAACAAATTCCAATTCAAGGGGGAGCTATGTGTGCTCAGGGATCTGCAAATCAGCAATATGTAAACCCTCAACCCTATCAGATGACATGCTGAGCTTGTTACCATCAACCAGTGGTCAAAACTAAAAGATAGTAACAGCAGCCTGATGCCGGCTCACCCTCACCCCAAAGGGCAGTGCTGCCACCTATAGGTGAAAGATATAATCTCAGCATTACAAGTGTACAGCTATAAATGTCAAGATGCACCATACAGAACATCCTTCTCCTTCTGTCATTTACTTTGTTTGGAGGTTACAAAAAAAAGATGAAACATTTCCATGTGCTTTTAAACATATCGAGCTCTTAGAATAACACGAATGGTAGGCTGCATGTGCTTACAAAGAACAGGGATAAAGAAGAGATAAATCTGACAAAACACAAATGACTTGAAAATACTAATATGACACGTTGTGGCTGTGAATAGGCAACTATCAGGTGGACAATATCAAACATAGAGAAGGAACTATACATTTTTTAAGACATAAATATAATCCATAAGTGTGAAAGAAAGGCTCTTTTACTCTGGTAAAGTCATGAATCCAACAGCCAATGTATTCCAAATTAACAATGTAACACCAAAAGAGGAACAACCAAGTGGCAGCCTTAATGCATGCTCCGTATCCTCTTGAATAGCCTACTGTTGTGTGTAGCCAGCAGCACTTCCAATTTGTCCTCCTCAGCAGTGCACAAGCCTATTCTTAGCGTTGAGGGGGACATTAAAGACTTCTTCAAACGCACCTTTTAAGCGTCTTCATTTGTGAAGCTTAAAAGCATGCGTTAAGGCTGCCACTTGGTTGTTCCTCTTTTGGTGTTTTTTTTTTTTTTTTTTTTTTTTTTTTTTTTTTTTTTTTTT